GCAGTGTTTGACTGTATTCTGTGCAGTGAGAAAACTTAAAGTTATTTTCAAGGTCCACCATTTCTTACTTCTTTTCAGTCAGTTCAAGTTTCTAAGCTTTCTAAATCTCTGTTTTCCAGCTAATGGAAAGAAAATAGGATTCCACCGAATCTCCTATCTACCTACTCCAGGACTTCAGTGAGGATCAAATGAGATGAGGCACGTGAAAACGCTTCACAGACATTTGGTTACAGTGTGAAATGTTTCTACCTGGCTATAAAGCAATTTGTGTTTCTGGGCTGAAGAAACTGCAAGGAGGCTAGTTGCTAGGGAGAGGAAGCTGGGCATTGCTATGTGACTTCATTACCTGAATGGTCGTACATTTAGCATATTAGCCATATATATATATATATATATATATATATATATATATATATATATATGTATATGTATATATATGTATACATATACATACACACACATGTGTGTGTGTGTATATATATATGTATTCACATATGTATGTATGTATTTATTTATTCTTTAATTAAATCTTTATTGTTCAGATTATTACATTGGTTCCTCTTTTTTCCCCCCATAACTCCCCTCCACCCAGTTCCCACCCCACCCTCCGCCCTCACTCCCCACCCAGTGTCCTCATCCATAGGTGCACGATTATTGTCCAATCTCTTCCCGCACCCCCCACATCCCTTTCTTCCCCAAGAATAGTCAGTCCATTCCCTTTCTGTGTCCCTGATTCTATTATAATCACCAGTTCATACTGTTCATCAGATTATTTATTCACTTGATTTTTAGATTCACTTGTTGATAGATGTGTATTTGTTGTTCATAATTTGTATCTTTACCTTTTTCTTCTTCTTCCTCTTCTTAAAGGATACCTTTCAGCATTTCATATAATACAGGTTTGGTGGTGATGAACTCCTTTAGCTTTTTCTTATCTGTGAAGCTCTTTATCTGACCTTCACTTCTGAATGATAGCTTTGCTGGATAAAGTAATCTTGGTTGTAGGTTCTTGGCATTCATTACTTTGAATATTTCTTGCCACTCCCTTCTGGCCTGCAAAGTTTCTGTTGAGAAATCAGCTGACAGTCGTATGGGTACTCCCTTGTAGGTAACTGACTTTCTTTCTCTTGCTGCTTTTAAGATACTCTCTTTGTCTTTTGCTCTTGGAATTTTAATTATGATGTGTCTTGGTGTGGTCCTCTTTGGATTCCTTTTGTTTGGGGTTCTCTGCGCTTCCTGGACTTGTAAGTCTATTTCTTTCACCAGGTGGGGGAAGTTTTCTGTCATTATTTCTTCAAATAGGTTTTCAATATCTTGCTCTCTCTCTTCTTCTGGCACCCCTATAATTCGGATGTTGGTACGTTTGAAGCTGTCCCAGAGGCTCCTTACACTATCTTTGTATTTTTGGATTCTTTTTTCATTTTGCTTTTCTGGTTGGGTGTTTTTTGCTTCTTCGTATTTCAAATCTTTGACTTGATTCTTGTGATCCTCTGGTCTGCTGTTGGGAGTCTGTATAATATTCTTTATTTCAGTCAGTGTATGCTTAATTTCTAGTTGGTCCTTTATCACAACATCGAGGGTCTCACTAGATTTCTTGAGGATCTCACTACATTTATTGGCGGTCTCACCAGTCTTTTCGAGGGTCTTACTAAATTTATCGGCGGCTTCTAGACAGTTCTTGAGAGACCTTGAAAGTGTGGTTTTGAACTCTATATCCAGCAGTTTGCTTTCCTCCATTTCTGTCATTTGTGTCCTGTTTCTTTGTTTTGGCATTTTTTGTGCTTCGCTGTGTCGATAGAGTGGCTTTCTGTGCTAAGTGTCCCAATTACCTGAGGTAGACACTCTTGGTGCACCCCCTTGTGGGCTTTGTGCACAGTCTTGTTGTAGTTAAGCCTTGATTGTTGTATGTAAAGCTGGGAGGATTTGACCTCCAGGCCAATTGGCTGTGGGAATCAGCTGTGTCTACGGTGGGAGAACTTCTGTGCTGAAGACACCCTTATGGGGCAAGACTTGCTTCAGTGGGGCTTTGGTGCTCACTGAGTCTGCCCCCTGAGTGTGTCCCTTATAGATCTGAGTAGTTGTAATTGGATGGTCCCACTCTGACCACTGGGTACACTGGCTCTTGGATCTAAGGAGGTGCTAATCTAGCCTTTGCCTAAGGTACCCAGCAGAAGCCAGCTGTAAAGCAATGCAAGTTGCCCTGGGGCCTTGGGGCAGCTGCAGTTTGTTAAGTTATTTTCAGATTACAAAGGGCCGGGCCTTTCATATGCGAAAGCCTCCGTGCATGGCTTGGGCGGGGCGGGGTTCCTGGGGATCAACGGGGTGGGCCGAGCGAGCCAGCAGTATGGCTGCTCTCAGTCCTGCCTTCAGAGATTCTGGCAATTGCCGAGAGTGCCTCCGAGAGAAAGCTGCCCTCGAGTTCCTACCGATGCCAGACAGTCCCGTTTCTCCCGTGTGAGTCTGGGTCCCCAAAGACTCACCCGGAACTGGAGCTCAGAGCCTGAGACTCCCTCCTGATTGAAAAAGATAATCGTGTCCTCAGCCGCCAGCCCTCTCCGCATGCACCTCCGCACCTTTGTATTTACTTCAGCACCGCACCTCCTCTGAGTCTCGGTATGCTTTTCTCTTTCCTTCTAGTTGTAGAAATTCCACTCAGCCAGCCTTCCTGTGGTTCCGGATGATGTCCGTTATGTCTTTTAGTTGTATTTTTGAAGTGGTTGTGCGAAGCAGCAATCTCTGGTGTTTACCTATGCCGCCATCTTGGTTTCTCCTCATTTATTGCCTATGATCCTCTCTCCTTTTCTTCTTCTTCTTAAAACAGTCCCTTTAACATGTCTTGCATTGGTGGTAATGTACTCCTTTAACGTTTTTTTGTTTGGAAAGCTTTTTATTTCACTTTTAATTTTAAATGATATCCTTGCTGGATACAGTAGTATTGGATTTAGACTCTTGCTTTTCATTACTTTGAGTACTTCATGCCACTCCCTTCTGGCCTGAGTGTTTCTATTGAGAAGTCAGTTGACATTTTAATGGGAACCTCTGTAGGTAATTTTATGTCTCTTGCTGCATTTAAGATTCTGTTTTTGACTTTAACATTTGCTATTTTAATTACGATGTATCTAGGTGTGGTTCTCTTTGGGCTCCTCTTGATTGGGACTCTGTGCCTTCTGAACTTGTGGGACATTTTCCTTCACCAGGTTGGTGAAGTTTTCTGTCATTATTTCTTTAAACAGGTTCTCTTTTCCTTGCTGTCCCTCTTCCCCTTCTGGTAGTCCTATAATGCATATGCTGTTACATTTCATGGTGTCCCAGGGTTCCCTTAATCTATCTCCCTTCTTTTTCATTCTTTTTTTTCCCATTTGCTGCTCTAATTGTGTATTTATTTCTACCTTTTCTTCCAAATCGCTGATTCAATCATCTGCTTCATCCTATCTACTTTTAATACCTTCCAGTGTGTTCTTGATGTCAGATACATCATTCTTCTGTCTGTTTGGTTCTTGTTCATGGCCTCTATTTCCTTTTTCATGCTGTTGTAATTTGCACTAAGTTCCGTAAGCATCTTTGAACTCTATGTCTGATAGGTTGCTTGCCACTATTTCATGTAGTTCTTTTTCTGGAGAGTCCTTTTCTCTCATATGGGGGTTGCTTCTTTGTTTCCTCATTGTAGCTGTCTTTTTGTATTTGCTTCTATGTATTAGATAGAACTATTGTGCCTCCCAGTCTTTGTGGGCTGGCCTAATAAAGAAAGTATCTTGAGGGGTCCAGTACTGCGGTCTCTTTGTTCACCTGAGCTGGATGCTCTAAGAGTGCCCCTTGTGTGTGTTATTTGGGTTCTCCTGTTTTAATTGGGACTTGATTATTGATGTCCTGTTTGTGGGAAGGATCTCCCCTCCAACTTGCTGCCAGTGAGGTTGGTGCTCACTGGGTTTTGCTCTGATGTTGTTGAATCTGGTCCCTTGGTGTGTCTATCCTGGGTCTCCTGGAAGCTGCTCTAGTGCAGGTGAATGTGAGTCACTGTCCCTTTCTGGCCCTGGGTAACCTAAGTGAGGTCCAAGAGGTTGAACCCTCTAGTAGTCCAGTGGTCAGGGACTCCTTATCCCAGAGGCTGGGTCTGCCTTGAGTCTCACGCCTTGATTGTCTCTGTTCTGAGTTGTACCCCCTTCCCCCATGGATCTGGTCCCCCAGGTGTCAGCTGCAGGTGCTGGGGAACGGCGGGGGTGTGTGTGCACAGTCCCCTTCTGGCGTGCGACTCCCTGTGAGGTCCTGGAGCCTGCTTGCAGGGAATTCACTGCTGGGGACTCACTATGTGGCCCTGGAGCCGCGGTAGGGTTGTTTATAGGTCCCTCTTGCATGCTACTCCCTGCGGGGTCCCGGAGCCTGTGGCAGACTCTGAAACTCACTGTGGGGTCCTGTAGCCCGTGGTGGGGATCCTTTGTGAGGTCCCATTGGCATGAGGCTTACTGCACGGATCTGGAGTGGTGTCCAAGGCTAGTCTAGGTAGTGGTGAGGCTGTGCTCCTGGCTGCTGCTGCTCCCCCCTTCAAGATGGTGTGGTTTCCATGCCAGAGCCGCGTCTGCCCAGGGAGTGCCTGTGGTAGTAGCAGGGGTCTCTTTGTCCAGAAGAACCTGATCCATGGCCCCTGAGACTCCTACAAGATCTGCCTCTTACACACACACACACACACACACACACACACACACAACACAAGTCTGTACACTCCCCTCTCCTTTGCTTACTCAGTCTCTCCCTAACTGCTGCCCTGCCAGCCACCATGTTGAATCTCCCGCAGACTCTGTTTCAGCCAGTAACTCTAACCATCTATTTCAAATGCCTTTTTAATAATTTTGAGCAAATTTGATTGATTCTTACTTTTCCTTAGGGTACTCCTGTAAGTATTGATGCTTTAATAGTTAACAATGAACCAAGGGGAAAACGTGGTGATGAACGTTAGATTTGTATTTATAACTAGTGCCTAAAATTCTGGAACTCATTTCTTCTAGGCAAATCGGCAGCCTTCCAACTATAACTCAGCCAAAATGTCTACTCCAGCAGACAAGGTCTTACGGAAATATGAGAATAAAATTAATCTAGGTGAGTTTGTAAAATACATTTCTTCATTGGGCTATGAGGAAATTCTTAAAAAACACATGAAGTGTTATAAAGTTTTATTGGATCAAGAAATATTTGTGCCCTGGCTGGTGTGGTTCAGTTGGTTGGCGCATTATCTCACACACCAAAAGGTTGTGATTCAATTTCTGGTCAGGGCTCATGTCTAGATTGTGGGTTTGATCCCAAGTTGGGGCACCTGTGAGAGGCAAGCAGTTGATGTTTCTCACATTGATGTTTTTTCTCTCTCTTCTTCTTCTCCCTCCCTTCCTTCCTCTTCTTCCTCCAAATCAATTAAAAACATATCCTTGTGTGAGAATTTAAAAAAAAGAAAGAAAAAAAATGAGTATACTTGGTGTTACTGACTGAATAATGCTTAGAGAAAATAAGAACTTAGTAATTTAAAAATATTGCTTCAAGGGAAAGACTTTATTTTAGCTTATGCTTTTTTAAGTTCTTTTTCTACCCTGTTGTACAAATACAAAGTTACAAATATATTCAAGTTATTGTCTGTTTTGTATTAGATTTTTGTAGGATGTTGAAAATACTAGAATGTTGAATATAATTACATTGTGTTTACCAGAGAGATTTTATGTAGGCATTAATCATTTAGTGAGCTGTTGAATGTAAGGAATCAGAATGTTTTGAGAAAAATACAAAGTTGTCTTTCTCTTGTAGACATCAACTTGTTATAAATCTAGCACACTGTTTCATATTCCTATCATTGTCTTTCATGGACCTGAAATTTGAAATGAGACTGAAGTTTTTAGAATTAAACTTGGAATCCAGGCAGTTACATTATTTATATTAGTTGTAAAAGATATTAAGTGTCTGAAATTCAGCATATGCGGATATAGTATTTTTGAGGGGTTTCTGTATCTGGATTTCTGTGCTCAAAATTTATAGCTGTAGTGATGAGAGTGACACTTGTTATCAAGGAAACACAATCTAGTGCTTATCTTTAAAAACATTAAAACCTTTTCATTACTAAAATATATTCTGTGTATAAGAAAATATTTAGAAAATAGAGAAGGAAGAGGGGAGAAGAATCCTATTCAAAAAGACTATTAATGTCTTTCTGTCTTACATGTTGTTCACATTGTGGATTTTTTTCTTTTTTCAGATAAGCTAAATGTTACTGACTCTGTCATAAATAAAGTCACTGAAAAGTCTAGACAAAAGGAAGCAGATATGTAAGTAATATTTTAACTATAAAACATGGCTGATAGGGCCTAATTCTAGACAAATTAAGTGGTCTTGTGATCATAATTATTTTACAGAGGATGGTATTTTTGTTTTGGGGTGTATATTTTGTATATTTAAACCTTTTTTTTTTTTTAGCTTAAATACCTTTGTTCACAAATGTGGTCTTAGGATAACAGTGTTTGAAATTTCTGTTTAAATGTTTAAACTGTTAAAAGGTTAAAATTTTAGCATAAAAATGCTCCCTTTTTAGAATTTATTTCAAATTATTCCCTTTCATGACATATTTTTTTTTAAATGGTATAACCGAAAACAGATTACATTTACACTTCTGTTCTCAAAACCAGTTGTTTAAGATCTGGCTAATTTCTATATGCTGTAAACTCTAAGACATTAACAATATATTATAGAAACAGACACTTAGATCATACAACTAGCAGTGTTAGAAGTGAATTTAAAAAACAATTTTCTTATGGTTTATTGCTAGGCCCAAGTGATCCTAACTTTTTGAGAAACAACATAGTCATTTGTTATTTTATTCAAGTGTCTGAATCTTTGTGTTTAAAACTTTATTTAGATTTGTGTGCTAATTGAGTCACTTAGTGTGTGAACTGAAGCATTTTAATATGGAACTCAGTAACTGTCTTGAAATGGTGTCTTGTGTCTGAAGAAAAGGACTCTAAAGAGAAAGCCTTATATGTTGACTTTAATTCTGTACTAAATATTTGAAGGACAGTATAGACTTCATCTTTTCCTTTTTACAGCATAGTTCACTTTACCCCACCTATCTTTTTTATTTAATGCTTCTAAATTATGGATATAAATTTGTTTTCTGCAAATATGCTCCTTTTACCCTAGGGAACAGAATTGCTTATTAAGGAGAAATGAAATATGTTTCACTGAGTGATGAAATTACAAGATCTTGAAATCTGTTATTAAAGAAACTACCTATTTAGGAATTTCATGGAATGATGTACATGTAGAAACTTTTTATTTGGCTTCTGTGACTAAATTTTGAATGTCACCTGTACTTTCTGTTTTTGGTTAGGTATCGCATCAAAGATAAGGCAGACAGAGCAACTGTAGAACAGGTACAATTTAAATGTGTTACAAGTTTTTATTTTAAAATAGCATTTTTCTTCTCTTTGAATTATAGTTTGCTTTTATCCTTCTTGCTTAATGCTAATATTAAAATGCTAATGCTAATGTCTAAAATTATTCCTGTATAAAATTACTCCTTTTTATAGTTTTGAGTTTAGAGCTCTACATTTTGCTTTATTGAACTACTAGAGGCCCGGTGCACAAAAATTTGTGCACTGGGGGGGGGGGAGGGAGGGGGTGCCTCAGCCCGTCCTGTGCCCTCTCGCAGTCTGGGACCCCTCAGGAGATAACGACCTGCTGGCTTAGGCCTGCTCCTGGGTGACAGAGGGCACGCCCAATCCCTAGGTGCAGCCCCTGGTCGGGCTCAGAGCAGGGCCGATTGGGGAGTTGGGGCGCCGCCCCCTGTCATGCACAGAGCAGGGCGGATCGGGAGGTTGCGATGCTACCCTTAGTCACGCTCAGGGTACAGCCGATTGGGGGGTTGGGGCACCTCCCCCTGTCACACTCAAGGCAGGGTCGATGGGGAGGTTGTGGCGCCACCCCCTGTCATGCACAGAGCAGGGCCCATCAGGGGGGTTGGGGCTCCGTACCCTGTCACACACAGAGCAGGGCCGATCAGGGGGTTGAGGCGCTGCACCCTGTCACACTCAGGGCAGGGCCAATGGGGAGGTTATGGCTCTACCCTGTTACGCACAGAGCAGGGCCGATAGGGGAGTTGGGACACCACGCCCTGTCACCCACAGAGCAGGGCGGATCAGGGGCTTGGGGCGCTGCACCCTGTCACACTCAGGGCAGGGCCAATGGGGAGGTTATGGCTCTACCCTGTTACGCACAGAGCAGGGCCGATCAGGGGGTTGAGGAGCTCCCCCCGTCACTCACAGAGTAGGGCCGATAGGAGAGTTGGGGCGCCGCCCTCTATCACCCACAGAGCAGGGCCGATCAGGGGCTTGGGGCGCTGCACCCTGTCACACACAGCCACAGGGCGATCAGGGGGTTGGGGAGCTCCCCCCTATCAGGCACAGAGCAGGGCTGATCAGGGGGTTGGGGCGCCTTCCCTTGTCACGAACAGAGCAGGGCAGATGGGGAGGTTGTGGCCCCGCCCCCTGTCACACACAGAGCCGAAGGGCGATCAGGGGGTTTGGGCGCTGCCCCCTGTCACGCTGGGAGGCATATTACCCTTTTACTATATAGAATAGGGGCCTGGTGCACGGGTGGGGGCCGACTGGTTTGCCCTGAAGGGTGTCCTGGATTAGGGTGGGGGTCCCCACTGGGGTGCCTGGCCAGTCTGGGTGAGGGGCTGAAGCTCCCAACCGCTCCTTTTTTTCTTTTTCTTTTTTTTTATTCTGGGCCAGCTTTAGCTCTGAGGCCTCGGCTACTGAAAGCCGGTTTCTGGCCTTTGTTTTTCCTTCTGTATTTGATACAATGTTGCGGTCAGGCTGGCTGAAGCCCGGCTGACTGAAAGCTGGTTTCTGGGGTTTTGTTTAGCTTCTATATTTGCAACATAGTTGCAGCTGAGAGGCCGGCAGCGGCAGGCGGGGAACGTTGGAGTCCGCAGTCACTGGAGCAAGCAAGCCTCCCTGCTCGCTTCAGTGCATGGCTGCCGGCCGCCATCTTGGCTGACAGTTAATTTGCATAAGGATATGCTGATTAGCCAATGGGAAGGGTAGCGGTCGTACGCTAATTACCATGTTTCTCTTTTATTAGTGTAGATTAATAGACAAATTTGAGTCATGCCCCCCTCCGTGGCCCTGTGAAGCCACCATGTAATGCTTTCATCTTCTAGGGGGAAGCAGAATTGATTTTAAGACCAAAAATCTTTTCTCTTGTCTTAAAGAAGGTCTGCAGGAATTTTGTGAACTTTCTCAGAAGATAGAACAGGTATCTGCCACAAGATAGGATGGATGGTAATGCGTGTGAGAGAGAGATGGGTAATGCCTTAAATTTTCCAATTAGAAATCCCTTACTTGGTTTAGAAGTTAATGCTTGTTTGCTTCTTTTTATTCAATAATGGGAGAAAGTTGGCCCCTATTTTTCCCACATGTAGAGGGTTGTGATTGGATGTTAGCATTGACCCAGATTTTTTATGTGAACCAAGTCATAAAAAAGGTCAGAACATTGCTACTGCAGCCTACCACCCGCTCCCTGCCCACACCTATATGTACAAATACATTTTAGAGTAGTAACCCTTTTGACCCACAGATCCTTGGTTTAAGACATAGCACCCCTTCTACTATTTACCTCAATCCCCAAAGGAGTAACACCCTACCTGAGCTCTAGAACCATTTACTATATGCAATTGAAGAATTTTACATTTAGTCAGGAGCAGGTCTGAGATCTGTGTCTCCATTATTCTCTAATTTAGTTATTTTGTGTGATTTCTTTTTGTGATTGAAGACAAAGTGTGGACCCGCACAGACAGATGAGGCAACTTTAATTTTCAAAGAGCCTAAAATAACTCAGGCAGAAAATCCTTTATTTTTCTCTTTTGAAATTAATTTTGAATGAGAGTATGTATCTTGAGTCTCAAGCTGTCTTTATAAAACATGTATCTGTAAGTTTATTCTCTTATATTTCTCTTTACCTATTTTGTTGTTAAGCCATTTCGATATGCTGCTCCTTTCTACCCCCTAACTTGGATACAGATCTCTATCTGGATTCCTGTGTTCAACCAGCGTACACCCCCGCTATTTACCTGTACCGTAGAGAAGAAATGTTCACTCACTTTCCTTTTATTCTCTTCCTGTTGCTATGGATGTAGTTTGGGTTTTAGTTCTGCAATCTTTTAAGATTATTTTGTTTCTATTAACCTTAGGTTTCTGGTATGACCACAGCCACCTCATTGAAAGATAGACTCTAGAGCAGGGATGGGGAACCTTTTATCTGCCAAGGGCCATTTGGATATTTTTTACATCATTCACAGGCCACACAAAATTATCAGCTTAAAAATTAGCCTGCTCCATTTGGCCAAACATATAAACAACTCACCTCTAATGCCTTGGCAGGGCCGGACCAAATGATTTCGTGGGCCTTTGATGTTCCCCTCCCCTGCCCTAGAATATAGTTTGATTTGGCCATTTGACACTGTCTCACTTTATGCAGCTAGTGGGTCTGTCTGCGCCATGAGGAGCTCTTGCGATCTCCCTTGAAATTGCATGTAAATATGTAGCTGCTTCAGTTTCAGAACTGGACAGGAGCAGGCTTTAGATCATTGCCTCCTGTTTGTTAAAGAAGACTTTGGGGTCTTCTTTTTTAACACATTGTTTGCGGGTAGGTTTTATCGCGCACTAACAGGTGGCTCTACTACTTACAGTCAATGTAAAACGTATAAATACGTTTCCCGCATACAACGTGTTTTAAAATATTTTTATTGATTTTAGAGAAGAAGGGAGAGGGAGAGAGATAGAAGCAACAATGATGAGAGAGAATCATTGATTGGCTGCCTCCTGCATGGCACCCACTGGGGATTGAGCCCACAACCCCAGCATATGTCCTGACTGGGAATCGAACCATGACCTCCTGGTTCATAGGTTGACGATCAAGTACTAAAGAATAAATACTTTAGACATGGCTCACAATTCTTTTTTTTTTTTCAACAAGTATTTTAAAATACAAAAACCATTCTTAGTTTGCAGGCTGTAGAGAAATAGGCTGCCACCTGAATTTCACTCATTAGCTGTAGGATGCTGACCCCTGGTTCAAATAGAGTGGCCACTGAGCACTTGGAATGTTGCAGGTTTGAATGAGACATGCCATAAACGGAAATACACACCAGATTTCTAAGACTTAGGGTTACAGAATGTTAAATCACTAAGTTTTAAAATATTGATTATATTTATAGTCCTATAAATCATGTTGAAATGATAGTGTTTTAGATGTATTGGATTAAAAACAGTGTATAAAACTAATTTTACCTGTTATCTTGGACATTTTTTAATGTGGTAAAACTAGAAAATGTAAAGTTTCTTATGTAGTTTGCTTTATGTTTCTATTAGCAAATGGTCTGGAGTCTGTTTCTGCTTCGCTTGGAGTTGGTAGCCTTTGATTTCTATGACCGAATGAACAAGTTTATTGCCTCTTTGGTTTATTGTCTCCATGGTTCCTGTGGCCTCCACCTCCCATTCTCTTTACTAAAAATTAGAGTGAATGAAAGTACCATAATAGCAACTCTCATTTAGCCAACCATGGTACAGTTAGGTTCTTCAGTTTATTAATTGTCAGATTCTTGAATGAGAAATAATTGGTACCATCTTTCTGAACTTCTATTTTTGGCAATTCTTTTTAGGTGTTGGATCCCAGAACACGAATGATATTATTCAAGATGTTGACTAGAGGAATCATATCAGAGATAAATGGCTGCATTAGCACAGGAAAAGAAGTGAGCTTTTCTTTGGATGCCTGAATGTTTTCATGTTAGTTTTCTTATTTCAGATAAGAAATGAAATTAAGGCATTTTGTAAATAAAATGTTCCTTTAAAAAGAAAGTCAGTTTCTATATACAAGTCAAGGTAGTTTAATCTGTGTTTCTAAAAATGGCTTTATTAATATTTATCAAACGGTAGGAAATTATGCACATAATTTTGCCTTTTCATGCCATTACTCTAACGTATCGTGAGTCCAACTAGCTGTGTTGAGCAGTACAGTTAGATGGTCAAGTTACTGCAGGCCTGAGTCCTAATCAAGTAGTGCTAATGGGGCAAAGGGTTGTGGTCTAATTTCTGTAGTCAGCTAATGTCTTTCTCATTTTTTTCTTTGTATATGGATATGCAGAAAGACAAATGTGTTTTTAAATTAGCAACTCATAGATAGGAAGCAGTTCTTAGTAAAAATCAATTTATAAATCATGTGATATGAGAATGTCTTCATGTATTTTCCACATGCTTGAGATATAAAAATGTTTCAAATCACTTCTCACATGTATTTAAGTTGGATTTTACTATATATGTAATTGGAGATATATTTACTGTGTCTTTTGGTATGATGGTTTATGATTTAATTCATATATTCAAAGATGGTGTTCCTTATGCCTATTATTTAAGTTCATTTGACTTTTTTAAACTTTTGAACATGGAATCAAATAGATTGAAAAAGTAAAATACTGTTTGTAGTTATTTAACACAAACTTAATTTTATTTGGTTTTGACTTAAAATAGGCTAATGTATACCATGCCAGCACAACAAATGGAGAGAGCAGAGCAATCAAAATTTATAAAACTTCTATTTTGGTGTTCAAAGATCGGGATAAGTATGTAAGCGGGGAATTCAGGTGAGCTCAGATTTTTTTCTTCAGTTAGCTTAATTTCTATATCCTAAAAAAATAAAAACTAGAACGGGATAATTTAAATAACAAATTGTTTTCTTGTTCAAGATTTCGTCATGGCTATTGTAAAGGAAACCCCAGAAAGATGGTGAAAACTTGGGCAGAAAAAGAAATGAGGAACTTGATCAGGTGAATGGGGGTGTCTGTGCTGTGCCCTGCACATTGGCTGTGGTTCTTTCCCACCAGCAGATCCCAGTGGTTCTGTCTAAATCTAGGGACATGGTGGGGCTGTTCAGGTCCATTAGATCTACTGAGGGAAGTTAGACAAGTAAGAGCCACTGTATCTTGTCTGGGTCATGTAAAGAGCCTTAGAAACCATGTGAAAACTTTTAGAATTGATACTGAGGAGGATAAGGAGCTGTTACAGGATCTTAAGCAGGCAAGTGACTTAATTAGATTGTGAGAATGATGGGTCATTTTTAAATAGGTATTAGAGTTTTTGACAGTTTTGTTAGGCCCAAAACTCTTTATCAGTTTCCTTTTTTCAGCCCAATTTTGGACACATTTATATAGTCTCTGAGTTGATATCTTCTTATCTGCTGTACATAAGTGACATATGCTGGCTATTTTAGTATTAAGCAGGTATTAATGATTGTTTTGAAAACCCTTCTGAAATTTGGGTGTGCTCAGTTAGCTATTAGGTATGAGTCCAACTGTTTTTACTGATCATTGCTCAGGCTAATCAGCTTGAAAAATCATCGCAGACATACCTGCTATATTTCATCAACTCTTAAGACACATTTTTTTCACAGTTTAACATCTTTGGAATTGGATTGGGTGTTAGAGGCTATGGGATGTTGTTGTTGAATTGCCAGTGTTTTGTCATTCTTGATGGTGCATGATGGTGCCACTTAAAATCATTAGTGTCTTACAGTTTTTGAAATACAGTAATATAATTGGAAGACCCTGGTGCTGTTTCCTAACAGCAATATTAATCTTGTGTACTATAGTTGTTGTAGTTGTTTCAGATGCTGTATTTAGCCTTTTCATTTGTCCTTTTATCTGTTTTAATACCACAGGCTGAACACAGCAGGGATCCCATGCCCAGAACCTATCCTGCTACGAAGTCATGTTCTTGTCATGGGTTTCATTGGTAAAGATGACATGTGAGTATGTGGATGGCCTAATAATTACATGTTCATAATTATATTTTTAATTGCTTTGAATTAGTTTAATCTTGGAATATTTTTTATGACTCTTTTCCATTGCATTAGTGCATTAATTTATAATACATTTTTGACGACTATTTTATACAGTACCTGTTTATTGACAAGTTTCTGGAAAGGAACATCTGTAGTGAGCCAGGTTGTTCAATGATGAGTTGTAGAAGAGAAGTGCCTGTAATAAATGTAGTATAAAGCACGAAAACTTGGTCCCATCAGTTTATCTTCATTGTTTATTTTATTCTTATTAAAGGCCAGCACCCCTCTTGAAAAACATCCAGTTATCAGAATCCAAGGCTCGTGAGTTGTACCTGCAGGTCATTCAGTACATGAGAATAATGTATCAGGATGCCAGACTGGTCCATGCAGATCTCAGTGAATTTAACATGCTGTGAGTATGTTTTGTCCCTTAGGTGCCTCCCATAAGTAGTTTCATGTCCTTTAAAAAAATAAAATTCCAATTCCAAAATGTCATACTAAACTCTAATGTTTTAAAGGTGGCTTCCACATGGTCACAGTATAGGATTTGTTTCCTGCCTTTGGTGACCTCAGTCATTGAATTGAGCCCTCATGTCACCATAGTGGAAGTGTGCACATCACTGGTGTTTCTCACATCCCTGCTTGTGTGGCCCGCAGGTACAGTGGTGGGGGTGTGTACATCATTGACGTTTCTCAGTCTGTGGAGCATGACCACCCACATGCCTTGGAGTTCTTGAGAAAAGATTGTGCCAATGTCAATGGTGAGTGGAAATTGCAGTTTTCTCCCAGCTTGTTTGTGTGTGTTGGTTCTATACTCTGTTATAGTGTTGATATAAAATTTTGGCACTGAATGGTTTGATGCAGTGATACTTAACGCCAGTAGCTGGCAGATGGCATGTTTTTATTTCTTTGTTTCTCTATAAAGTTGTTCTCTTGTAAAGCTGTCGTTAACATTTTTCTTGTGACAGATTTCTTTTTGAAGCACAACGTTGCTGTGATGACTGTGCGGGAACTCTTTGAATTTGTCACAGACCCATCAATTACACAGGAGAACATGGATGCTTATCTCTCAAAGGTGAAATGGGGTAAGGGGGGAAAAATAGAAAATAGCAGTAGTAATTTGCATTTATGGCACTTCTGAGGACTTAAATTGCTCCACATAATTTTTGTTCATTTGACAGTTTCCTGAGACCTTTTTCTTCTGATTTCATATATGGAGAATCAGAAGGATAGTAAAAAGCCAGTGGTAAAGCGAGGTTTCTTGACTTTAATCTTTAGGCAAGATTACATCGATTGTCAAAGTTAGGGAAATTTAGTAAGAAACCTGTTGTTAGCTTTTGGTCATTAATTCCTTTCCTTTGTTTCTCATAGGCCTTTCTGAATCACAAAAATTTTTAAATTGTGGTAAAATATACAAAGCATAAAATTGACCATTTTAACCATTTTTAAGTGTACAGTTCAGTGGCATTAAGTACATTCACATTGTTGTGCAACTACTATCCACCATCCATCCACAGAATATTTTTGTCTTTTGAAGCAAAACTCAGTATTCATTAAACATTAACTCCCCATTTCTCTTCCCAGCTCATTCTACTGTCTGTCTATGATGTTGACTACTCATATAAGTAGAATCATACACTATTTGTCTTTTTCTGGCTGATTTATTTCACTTAGCATAATGTCCTCAAAGTTCATTTGTGGTGTAGGATGTGTCAGAATTCTTTTCCCTTTGAAGATTGAGTAATAATTCCATTTATGTAAGTAGCACATTTTGTTTATCCATTCATCCACCTATGAACACCTGGGTTGCTTCCACCTTTTGGCTGTTGTGAATACTGCTGCTGTGAACATGGGTGTACAAATATCTCTTCAAGACCCTGTTTTCAATTCATTTACATGTATATCCAAAAGTGGAATTACTGGATCATATGGTAATTCTACATGTAATTTTTTGAGTAACAGTCATACTGTTTTTCTCAGTGATTGCACCATTTTACAGTTACATCAACAATGTGCCATTGTGCAAGGGTTCTGATTTTTTCACATCCTCACAAACACTTGTTATTGAGTAGCTCTCCTGATGAGTGTGTGGTGGTGTCACAAAGTTTTGATGTGAATTTCTCTAATGATGTTCAGCATCTTTTTATGTAGTTGTTCGCCATTTGTATATCTTCTTTGGAGACATGTCTAGTAAAGTCTTTTGTATGTTTTTTTAATCAGATTATTTTTTAGTTAAAAGAGTTCTTTATATTTTCTTCTATCAGAAGAAAAACATTAACAACAGCTTTACAAGGGAACAACTTTATAGAGAAACAAAGAAATAAAAACATACTGTATGTGCCCTGACTGGGGATCAAACCTGCAACCTTTTTGTGCACTGGACGACATTCAACTGAGTTGCACTAGCCAGGGCTCAAATATTTTCAATCCAACAGTGGGTGGATCAAGAGAATACAGATACACAGATATGGAGGGCTAACTGTATTTTCATATTATCTATATGTATAAAGCCCTAATATGCAAATAGACCGAATGGCCAAACAACCAGTTGCTGTGACATGCGCTGACCCCCCAGGGGGCGCGTGTGGAACATAGCGGGTGTTGGCGGCAGTGCGCAGAACATGGCAGGCATCGGCTGCAGCGGGATGGTGGAGCAGGTGAACAGCGGACGGGGGGGGGGATGCCGGTCGCTGTCATCAGGGCAAGCCTCTGGTGTTTACTGAAAATTCTTTGCTCCCACCCGGCGCTCACACTTGGCACCGACCCTGCTTGCACCCATTGCTGGTGCCCAGCGCCGGCCCTGATCGCCCCTCAGGGCTTCTCCACTTCCCCCTGCTCCTGAGGGCCAATCAGGGCTGGCAGTCACCTGTCCTGCTTGCACCCACTGCTGGCGCCAGCCCTGCTCACACCCGTAGCTGGCATGTGGTAGCAGCGGCAGGAGTGAGTGGGGCTGCTGGCAGACAGGGGACAGGGGGCTGCGGTGGGAGGGGCCAAGCGGGGGCACGGAGGATGGGCCAGGACCCGCCCTGGTGCCCACCACAGCCTCTCGGCCCATAGTTCCTTTCAAGGTGCACGAATTCGTGCACTGGGCCCCTAGTGTAACTATAATTGAAGTAGTCACACTGTATCAGTTCATATATAAAGTTTTTTTAAAAATTTATTTTGTCACTCTCTACTTAGACTACAGACTCCTGAAGGACAGGGATTTTAGTCTTTTTTTTTTTTTTAATATGTTTTTATTGATTTCAGAGAGAGGAAGGGAGAGGGAAAGATAGAGAAACATCAATGATGAGAGAGAATCTTCCATTGGCTGACTTCTGTATGCCCCCTACCGGGGATTGAGCCCACAATCTGGGCATGTGCTCTGACTGGGAATTATACTATGACCTCTTTGTTCATGGGTCAATGCTCAACCACTGAGCAACACTGGCCAGGCAGGAGTTTTATGTCTGTATTGCCAGTACCTAATCTGTACCTGGTAATAGTAAGTAATCACATATATTAATTGAATGAATAAGTATCACATCATTTTTATTCCTAAATCCTATAACACTGATTTCAGTGTCTGACCTTAAAACAAAAAGCCACCTAGAACCGCTATTCTTTCCTTTTTTCTGTATATTCTAAATAGATAGAGAACAAATTTTCAGTTTTACAGTTTCACAAGCCAAAAGAATCCTGTAGAATCTTTGTCACATTTTTAGTGTCAGTCATTGTTCAGATTGCTTTCTTTGGTGGTTTATGCTGCAGTGGCATTGGAGCCATATCTCAAATTAGAGGACAATCCACTTTCTCATTGACTCCCTTCATTGGCTGCTCAAGAGCTAAGGAATGGTTCTTTCATTCTTTGGTTCTCTGTTTTCCTTTAGTAGGTATTTTTCCTAATTGTTTAAAAATTAGTAAAAGTAATATTACTTTTGAGGAAGGGGCTAGGGATTCCCTGAAGTTAGACAAGTTTGATTTATTCTGTTACTTTTGGGTTGATGGCAACCGTTTTGGTGAGGTCTAACACGGAGAGCTAAACTGACCACTAGAGGACACCAAGTCCTCTTTTTTAGAAATGTGAAGAGGTGCTACTGAGAAAGATTAAAACAGATTTATACTAAAATGGGGAAATGGATGTATCTTCTGTAGGTTGAATGTGAAGGAAAGTAATAATTTTTCTTTCCAAGGCCATGGAAATAGCATCCCAAAGGACCAAGGAGGAAAGGTCCAACCAAGATCATGTTGATGAAGAGGTAAGACTTATCATCTGTTCATAGCCTTAGGAAACACTTGTGCTTTGAGGTCTTTTAAAAAATATTGTTAAGGCATGAACTTGATTTTAATAAATAAGCAGTTCATTACATAATTCCACTCAGCAGCCCATTAGCCCAATGTCTTAGGTGGAAAACATTTTAAAGAACCTATTGAAGTATCTGATTCAAGAAGGAAAAGCTGGTTTAGTTTGCAAATGTGGACTTTTATTTTATTTACTTGTTTTTTAAATATATTTTTATTTCAGAGAGGAAGGAAGAGGGAGAGAAACATCAATGATGAGAGAGAATCATTGATCAGCTGCCTCCTGCACACCCCCTACTGGGGATCAAGCCTGCAACCCTGGCATGTGCCCTTGACCGGAATTAAACCCGGAACCCTTCAGTCCACAGGCCGGTGCTCCATCCACTGAGCCAAACGGGCTAGGGCGCAAATGTGGATTTATAAATAATTTAAATGTTGATTCCAGTAGTAATTAGAATTTAAATATTTATGTTTGTTAAAAAAGAAAATTATTTTAATCTTGGGGATCAATATATTTTTTGTGAAGATGATCCATAGTAGGCTTTATTTTATTTTATGTTTTAATTCTCACAGCTATTAGGGTGCTGGATGACTACAAGGTACTCTATGTTTATCAGCAGTTCTAAACCTTTTTTCACTGTAGCACAGAGTGGATAATGTTCCTGTGTCAGAACATAAGGCACAGCCAGGCAATTGCATTCCTTTCTCTCCAACTCAGAAAAACTTTGTGGAATGCAAACGAGGAGAGAGAAGTATTATTCTAAGGGTAACCTTAAATCATATTCAGTCTTTTGTCATTGGTAACAAATTACTTTTGGCATAGCACACAGCAGGTGCTATACCTGCCTGTGCAGGCGGCTTGGCTGAGAACTGGTGTTTTAGATGATGAGGATGAATTTTTTTTATGACTTGATGGGAGTAAGGATGCTGAGCAAATGTGAGAAGTATGTGAATGGCAGTTTCAATTTTATTTTCCCTCTGTGTTTGTTAGGTGTTTAAGCGAGCATATATTCCTAGAACCTTGAATGAAGTAAAAAATTATGAGAGGGATTTGGATATAATGATGAAATTGAAGGAAGAGGACATGGCCATGAATGCCCAACAAGACAATGTGAGTAGCTGGGTTTATATGTAGCAAACAAGTTTACAAAGAAAGCTACCTTCCCCAACCTGCAATCTCAAATGTTGGCTTCTGATCTAGTGAGATGGCTAATTGCATTAACATGTCCTTTGGGCACATTGGATGTAAAGGAAATACATTGGTGTTTATGAAAGAAAATGATACAGTTGAATGAGTCCAACAGACTGTAATTGCAGAAGGAAGATTTGTATAAAAGTCTAGGATATAAATGGTATTATACTGGATCCATTAAAATTCTGTATATATTTCAGGGTCTGGAAATTTTTTCTATTAAAGGGCCAGATAATAAATATTTTACGCTTTGCAGGCAAAGAAGCAAAATTAAGGCTACTATGTAGGTCATTATATAAAAAGAGAGAAAAATTTTCCTCCAAATTTTTATTGATGAAATAAAAAGCACTTTAATAATTGAATACAGTGCTCGCTTCAGCAGCACATATACTAAAATTGGAACGATACAGAGAAGATTAGCATGGCCCCTGCGCAAGGATGACACGCAAATTCGTGAAGCGTTCCATATTTAAAAAAAAAAAAATTTGAATACAGCTTTCCATGATCCAAGGTCTACTAACGAAAGAAAAATGGAGTTACATTGGAAAGGAGAATACATTTCATTTCATTGAGATTCAAAGTTAGAGTGTGCCATCATCGAATTGATTTTGAATGTTCATTAGTAGAAACCATCAGTCTATCTGTTGGATTTGGGCTGTGGGCTGGAATTTGCTGATGCCTGTATGCTTGGTAGACAAGAATAACACCCATGCTATACACTTTCTCTTTACTATGAGATAAATTTTAGGCACCTTTTTATAATCCCACAATATATCATTTAGCCTACAGTGTTGCTTTTTAATATTGGAGTGTGTTATTTCATTGTCTGGTTTTATGTTAATTTTTTTTTCTTTGTGGTTACAAGATTCTATACCAAACCGTCACAGGACTGAAGAAAGATTTGTCAGGCGTTCAGAAGGTAAAAAGAATATGTGTTGCTATTTATTTATGTGAAAATTCTGTTAAAGGGTATAACATTTAATGTAAAGTATTATTAGAATTAAATTAACAGTGATATAGTTATTCGTATATATACTTTCAAAGTCTACGAGCATTTTCAGAATGCCCTTTTTGTGTTCATTCTTTTTAACTATATGACTGAAATAGTGAAATTTATGGTTTATTTTTCATTCTGCCTCTTACTTGTCTTGTTGTTATAGCTGAGGCATTGATCCTTTTTGTATCCTGGTCTTCCTTTGTGAAGTGATTAATGATAGTCATGTGCTTGTTGATCTTTTTACAACTAGCTTATTAAAAGTATGTATGAAGAGCAATCTCAGGAGTTTAGCAGTCTGATAGTGCTGGATTCCTGCAGTGTTTTTTTCAGTCTTGTTTTGTTTTATATTTTAGAAAGACAGGGATTAATTCTACTTTAAGCAATTATAAAGGTAGTTCTTGTTTCATTTAATGTCTTAATTAAAGCCTTAAGCATGAAAGATCACAGTTTGCTCTGAAAATTTACTTTGTCTTTTATGGGAGGAATTGACTTTTAAATGTTTCTTTTTTCCTTATAAAAAGAAAACCTCTTTTAAGAAAGTGCTTCCTGCTGCTTTAAAAGCTAAACTTCAGGGTGGGAAAAGAAAATTTCTTTTGTTTAAATGTCATATTCCCTCTTGATCAGATTAATAATAATTGTCCTTCAAATTTGATTCATAGGAAAACAGCTATAAAGTTATTCAAATAAGTATTTTTTACTTCTCTCTGTATTTATGTTATTACCACATATATGATTGTGGCCCTGTCCTATATTATAAAGAGCTAATATGCAAATGGTTGTCATGCCATAACGGCTCAGACACTCAACACTGGGGAGAGAGGATTGGGAACCATCCAGGCACAAATGAGCTCACAAGAGAGGAATGGGGACCAGCCAGGCACAAATGAGCTCACAAGAGAGGAATGGGGACCAGCCAGGCTGTGGCCTGGGAGAGGGACAAGCCACCTGCCCTGCGGTCCTGGGTGCCAGCGCCTGCAGCTGCGGCCCAGGAGAGGGACAAGCCGCCCGCCCCGCGGTCCCAGGTGCCAGTGCCTGCGGCTGCGGCCCAGGCGAAGCGGCCCGCCCACGGTCCCCTGTAGCTGTGGCTGGCCCAGGTCCTGGGTGCCTGCGGCCAGACAGAGGAAGGAATCCTGGGTCCCGGGTGCGGGGCAAGGCAGAGGTGATTAGGGGCAATCATTCCAGCAGGGGAGCAGTTAGGGGCAATTAGGCCAGTAGGGGAGCAGTTAGTGGCAATCAGGCAGGCAGGCAGAGGTGGTTAGGGGTGATCAGGCAGGCAGAGGTGGTTAGGGGCAGGCAGGCAGGCAGGCAAGCAAACAAGCAAGCGAGTGGTTAGGAGCCAGTGGTCCCGGATTGCGAGAGGCAGCCAGACAACCCCTGAGAAGTCCTGGATTGGAGAGGGTACAGGCCAGGCTGAGGGATTTCCCCCTCCCCCTGTGCATGAATTTCGTGCACCAGGCCTCTAGTAAGATTATAAGAGAGCTGGAAAGTTCCTGTTGCCTACTGACATAACATCATAGTGCAACACATAGCTCACGTGTTTGTGGTCATGCTGGTGTAAACAAACCTGCGCTAACAGTGTTATAACCCAGTACTCCTTTTCTGAAGTGAAACAGTTATGTTGTTTCTCTGGGTCATCCATTAAAGCCCCAGTTTGTTCGTGGGGGTATGTTCTTGAGCCTTACTGGAATGGTACTTCCAGGCTTCCTCCCTCACTTTGATTCTGTTGTTTTGATGTTTTTAGTACAGGCTTTTGTTTTTCAAAGAATATCCGCAAAGTTAAAATCTGAATTCTAGCATTAACAAATCTGATAACAATAGATAACTGATTGGTTTAGAATAACATGGTTCTGTAATATTTTCAAGGTCCCTGCACTCCTAGAAAATCAGGTTAAGGAAAAGCATTGTTCTGATTCAGAAGATGGTGGAAGCTCTGAGTGTTCTGATGCAGGTTCTGAAGAGCAGGGAGACCATGCCTGCTCCAAGAAACCTACCACTGATCTTGAAGTTGATAAAAAGGTTAGTCAAGAATGAAAATTCCCTTGTTCTTTAACATGGCAGCATAGCCACTCATTACTCTTCACTCAAGTATTTAGATTATGGTGGCAGAAAACATTGTTGGTCAGTAAGTACCTCTAATTATATTTCCAGTTCCTAAGCATGAACTGATTTTGGTTGTAACATTATCTAGAGATTGGGCTTCTGTTGGGAGCTTGGGCACTGTCTAGGGCAGTGGTCGCCAACCTTTCAGACCTCATGGACCAGCATTGGTCCGCGGGCCACCGGTTGGCGACCGCTGCTCCAAAGGTTTCCTTAAACCAGCGGTTGCCAACCTTTCGGACCTCACGGACCAGCATTGGTCCACAGGCCACTGGTTGGCGACCACTGGTCTAAGGAAAGGACACACTGAATTCAGTACATTGAGTAGAAATTATTGTCATTAACTTGAAGTACAAATGATGCTGGAGTTGCCTCATGATGACATATTGAGGAGCCATTTCAGGGGGGATTTACAGCCACAAGTTTCCAAACTCGGAAAGGCTATTTCTTCCAACCCTGGCCACAGACAGAAGAGACACTCATGGTTGAATAATGCATGACAACTGTGTAACTATTACTCTTCATTCTTAGCTTAATCCTCAAACTTTATAAAGTATGGATTTTAAGACTTCTGAGAGACATACCCAACTGGCTGTTAATACATTTTTCTCTCTTTGTCTACTGGAAATAAATATTTTGTCTCCTTCTAACTTTTATTTCTGTTAGCATATGAAAATTGCAAAGAAAAGTAGTTGCAAACATTTAATAACATCCTCATGGATATTTGTGTTTGGCAGTCTTCCAATTTCTATTAGGATACCTTTAAGACAATTTCATCTCAAATTCCACCACCAAACTATAATTATTTTTATTTTATTTATTTATTTAATCCTCACCCAAGGATATTTTTCCATTGATTTGTAGAGAGAGTGGAAAAGAGAGGGAACGACAAAGAAATATCGATGTGAGAGAAACACAACGATTGGTTGCCTTCTGCATGTGCCCTGACCAGGGCCCGGGCCGGGGAGGAGCCTGCAACTAGGGTATGTGCCCTTGACCAGAATTGAACCCATGTCCCTTTGGTCTGCAGGCCAACGCTCTGTTCACTGAGCCAAACCAGCTAGGGCTCATTTTTATTTTCTAATGTTACTCTTCTTTTTATCCTTTTGCATATATCTTTATAACTAATTGTATCATTGTGAATAGTATGAATGGAATTTGCTTATAAAAAGAAAACATTGACTTTTAAAAAAGTTCTTCCTGCTGCTTTAAAAACTGCTAACTTCAGGGAAAAAAATTAAAATTTCTTTTGTTTAAATAACATTTTCCCTCTTGATTGAATTAATAGTAAGTGATATTTGAAATTTGATTCGTAGGAAAACAGCTGTGAACTTATCCAAGTAAATATTTTTTTTCTTCTGTCTGTATTTCACAGATTTTTTTTTAATTTTTGTTTTACAGGAAAGAAAAAAGATGGTCAAGGAAGCCCAGAGAGAGAAAAGAAAGAACAAAATTCCTAAACACGTGAAAAAAAGAAAGGAGAAGACAGCTAAGACAAAAAAGGGCAAATAGAATCGGAACTATATTATGTATAGTAATTTTCCATCCGTTATTTTTTAAAAAAATATTCTTATTGATTTCAGAGAGAAAGGGAGAGGCAGAGATAGAAACATTAATGATGAGAGAGACTCATTGATTGGCTGCCTCCTCCATGCCCCTACTGGGGATTGAGCCCACAACCCAGGCATGTGCCCTTGAACGGAATCTAACCTGGGACTCTTCAGTCTGCAGGCCAACGCCCTACTCACTGAGCCAAACTGGCTAGGGCTCAGTTACTTTTCTTGCCTTATCTAAGTTGCATCTGGAAGGTGGATATTGATTTTAACCAAATGGTTATTATGGCAATGTCTATGAAGACTGATTCAAGTGTTCTCATGTAGTTTTGTAAAAAGCTCTAATCTCTGTTGTCCAGATCCAGTCACTGACTCTGGTGTTGACAGAGAATTTATTTAAGCTATTTTAATGAAGAACTTTGTACAATTTTAGTTCTATATGTTTTTTCTCCTCTGGTATGTTTTTTGAAGCATCGTAAATATTTAAATGTAATGAATGTCTACAACCTTTACGTAAGTGTGAAGGCACTTTGGATAAACTTGGGCCAAGTTTTGCTTTGCTTGTACATGCCAAAGACCCATCTGAAGTCTCATGATTAAAATGCCAGGGTTTCCATAAAAGGAGTTTCACTTGTGGGAAAATTCACCTGGCTGTTGATGTAATCATTCACTGCAACTTGGTTCTGTGTGCATTTATGATCATTTGTAAGGCACTCTTCATCTTTAATATCCTTTTCTGAGCTTAGGGTCTCTCAGTTCATAAGCTATTTCATGTTTGACCATTTGGCATGTTCATTCATTCATCAAATATTTGAGTATTTTAGGTGCTGAAAATACAGCACTAAAAAAACCCCACAAAACAAAACAGTCAAAAATTACTACCCTCAGGTAGTTTACATTTTAATAAGACAAAACATTAAACAGAATAAGTAAAAATAGTATATCAGCAGGTGACAAATTCTGTGGAGAGAAATATTGCAGAGAAGAGAGAATGCCTGGGAGAAGTAAGTTTGCCATTTTAAAATAAGCCACACTAAGTGGCTATATTTGAGCAAATACTTCAAAAGTATGAGTCATGTGCATATCAGGAAAGAAGGGTATTCCAGGCAAAGCAAACAGCAAATGCAAAGGCCCTGAGGCAGAAGTATGCCTGAAAAGTTCCAGAAACAAGAGGCTTCATATCCAAGGGAGAAAATACTAGATGAAATCAGATGGCATTAGGCTATTGGAGGGTTTTAAGCAGAGGAATAATATGATCTGACTTCTGTTTTGAATGATCACTATCACTTTGGCCTCTAGAAAATTGATGAGGAAATAAGGATAGGGTATTTATTGTAATATCCCACAGAAGAGATGATGACTTGCTCTAAGACAGTAGCAGGGACATGGAGAGAGGTGCTTGGATTCTAGATAGAACACAAAAGCGGAGTGAACTAGATGTGCTAGGGAATATATGAGGAGTATGGAGAAAGAATGAAGGATGATGTCAGGGATTATGACTGGCAACTGAGACTACTGGAATTGCTACTTACTATTTTGGGAAGGCATGTGTGTGGAGCAGGTTTGGGGTGAGAAAGGGAGTAAGAAGAGGGTGAGATTGCAACAAAACACAAATATTGAAAGAAGTGATCAAATATTTTTACCATATACTTTACATTAGAAATACCTATTTTAACCCTTGCATCTGAAACAATTTCTATAAATAAACTTAGTTTCCATTAAACTGAAGCTTGCATCTGCTTGTTTGAGAGTTGATTGGGTTGGGGGTGGGGAATGAGGAGTGAGGTAGTTCAACTGAGCTTTTAAAATTTTAAGTCAAATTTATTATGTTCATAATATCCTCCTTCCTAGACTTTAAAAAAGTTCAAAATGTGAAATAGAATTTCAATGAAATATTATACAGTTAACAAAAGAATGCAAAAGTGGATTTAGTAATTCTGTGTACTCTTGGGGATTTTTATTTCAAGATCTTCCAGGCCTTGTATTTGTTTGGTCTTATTCTGACAAGGTTTATTTGTTTGTTTGTTTTTTTCAATCACAGTTGACATTCAATGTATTAGTTTCAGGTGTACAACATAGTGGTTAGACGCTTATATAACTTAAGTGATTCCCCCAAAAGTCTAGTATCCACCTGACCCCATATGTAATTATTACAGTATTATTGACTATATTCCCTATGGTATGCTTTACATCCCATGACTATTTTGTAACTCCAGTTTGTACTTCTTAATCCCTTCAGCTTTTTCAACTAGCCCCATAACTCCCATTTGGTAACTACCAGTTGTTTTCTGTATCTGTGAGTTTCTGTTTTTGTTCATTTATTCTGTTCTCAAACTCCGCGTATAAGTGAAATCATATGAAACAAGTCTTTCTCGCCCTAACCGGTTTGGCTCAGTGGATAGAGCGTTGGCCTGTGGACTGAAGGGTCCCAAGTTCGATTCCGGTCAATTGTAACTCCAGTTTGTACTTCTTAATCCCTTCAGCTTTTTCAACTAGCCCCATAACTCCCATTTGGTAACTACCAGTTGTTTTCTGTATCTGTGAGTTTCTGTTTTTGTTCATTTATTCTGTTCTCAAACTCCGCATATAAGTGAAATCATATGAAACAAGTCTTTCTCTGACTTATTTCACTTAGCATAACACATACCCTCTAGATTCATCCACATTGTTGCAAATGTAAGATTTCATTCTTTTTATAGGCGAGTAATATTCCACTGTATGTATGTACCACAACTTAGGTTGCTTCCATATCTTGGCTACATGAAATGTCCTTTTTCTCTTGTTATAGCCTTTGTGGATTTTTTTGTTTTGTTTTTAATATATTTTTTATTGATTTCAGAAAGGAAGGAAGAGATAGAAACATCAATGTTGAGAAAGAATAATCGATCAGTTGCCTCCTGCACAACCCCTACTGGGGATCAAGCCTGGAACCTGGGCATGTGCCCTTGTCCAGGAATGAAAACTGAACCCTTCAGTTTGCAGGCTGATGCTCTATCCAGTGAGCCAAACCAGCTACGGCTAGCCTTTGTTTTAAAGTCTATTTTGTCTGAAGTATTGCTTATTCCAACTTTTTTTCATTTCCATTTTCATGAAATATCTTTTTCATCCTTTTATTTTCAGTCTGTGTGTGTCTTTTGATTTGAAGTGGGTCTCTTATAGGCTGCATTTTCTTAGCCATTCAGCCATTCTATGTCTTTTGATTGGAACATTTAATTCATTTACATGTAAAGTGATTATTGAAAGATATATAGTTACTGCTATATTATTATTCATATTTATTTTTTTCTTTTCAAAGGAGCCCCTTTAACATTTCTTATAATACTGGTTTGGTGGGGATGAACTTACCTTTTTCTTGTCTGGGAAGCTCTTTATGTCTCTGATTCTAAATGACAGCCTTGCTGGGTAGAGTGATATAGGTTGTAGGTCCTTGCTTTTTATCACTGAACTAGAGGCCCGGTGCATGGATTAGTGCACCAGTGGGGTCCCTCGGCCTAGCTTGTGCCCTCTCTCAATCCGAGACCCCTCAGGGGATGTCGGAGGCCTGGTGCACGGATTTGGCCTGATCCCCGCAGGCCAGGGCGAGGGACCCCACCAGGCCTCTAGTTGCATATAAAATCTTTGGTTAATCTCTTCCCATCCTCCCCTCTCCCCTCTTCCCTCTGAGATTCATCAGTTTCCATGCCTGTGCGCTTAGCGTCTGCCCCCTGGTGGTCAATGTCCATCATAGCTACCAGTCGAATGGTCGGACACTTAGCCTTGAGGCCGGGTGCACAAAAATTTGTGCACTTGGGGGGGGGGGTTCCCTCAGCCCGGCCTGCGCCCATTCACGGTCCAGGACCCCTTGGGGGATGTCCACCTGTCGACTTAGGCCCACTCCCGGGGGATCAGGCCTAAGCCTGCAGTCAGACATCCTTCTGGCATCCAGGGAGCCCTTGGGGGATGTCCAACTAAAGGCTTAGGCCCCCAAGGGATCGGGTCTAAACCGGTAGTTGGACATCCTTAGTGCTGCCACGGAGGTGGGAGAGGCTCCTGCCACCACCACTGCGCTGGCCAGCCATGAACCAGCTTCTGGCTGAGTGGCACTCCCCATATGGTAGTGCACTGACCACCAGGGGGCAGCTCCTGCATTGAGTGTCTGCCCCCTGATGGCCAGTGCGCATCATAGCAACCGGTCATTCTGCCATTCAGTCAATGTGCATATTAGCCTTTTATTATTATTATATAGGATGTCCCTATTTCCCCCCTTTTGCTCCCTCTACCCAGCTCTTGCCCCCCACTTTTCTCTGGCCATCACCATACTGTTGTCTGTGTCCGTGGGTTGAGCATATATTTTCTTTGGCTAATCCCTTCTTTAAATTCACTTCTTTAAATTTTTATTTTCAGATAAGTGCTTATAACTGCACTATTATATATTTTCTATTATATCATTTAGAATTAAGATATTTTTTAATTGAACCCTTGTAAATTTTAGCACAATTTAATAAATTATGCTAGAAGCAATTAGGAGATTTTTCATGTAATGCAGACACATTTCAATTAATATTTTATTAATTTTTAATTTTTAATATTTTAATTTGAAATAATCTCATACATGTAAAAAAAACTATACAATATTACAGCATATTATATGTACCCTTCACCCAGTTTCTTAGGTGTTAATAATTTAAACATAACCATTATACAACTAACAAAATTTGGACTATATTTTTCTTATAATCTCTTTAATGTTACTTAATCCATTTACTTTGTTTTTGTTAATCTTCACCCAAGGATATTTTTCCATTGAATTTTAGAGAGTGAAGGGAAAGGGAGAGACACTTTGATTGGTTGCCTCCTGCACAAGCTTTGATAGGGACTGGGGATCAAGCCAGCAACTGAGGTACATGCCCTTGACTGGAATTGAACCTGGGACCCTTCAGTCCACGGGCTAATGCTCTATCCACTGAGCAAAACAGGCTGCAGCTTAATTCATTTACTTTTAATCTATATGTGTCTTTATATTTAAAGTGGGTTTTGTTTTTGATTCACCCTGCCGGCTGCTGGGGGCTTCTGGAGCATTAATCTATATGTGTCTTTATATTTAAAGTGGGTTTTGTTTTTGATTCACCCTGCCGGCTGCTGGGGGCTTCTGGAGCAGGTGTGCCTTCCCAGGCGGCCAGCCTGCCCTGGATGGCAGCGTGCTGGTGGTTGGCGCTGTCCTGGCCTGCCTGCAGTGGCAGGTGTGCCTTCCCAGGCGGCCAGCCTGCCCTGGATGGCAGCGTGCTGGTGGTTGGCGCTGTCCTGGCCTGCCTGCAGTATGCAAATTAGCCGCCATCTTTGTTGGCGGTTAATTTGCATATCATGCTGATTAGCCAATGGGAGGCATAGCGAAGGTACAGTCAATTACCATGTTTGTCCATTATTAGATTAGATATTTCATGCCAATAGCCTTCTAGCCTGCAAAGTTTCTGTTGAGAAATCCTCTGACAGTCCCTTGTAGATAAACTGCTTTTCTCTTGCTGATTTTAAGATTCACTCTTTGTCTTTAACCTTTGGCATTTAATATAGTATGGGTCTCTATGGGTTCATCTTGTTTGGGACTCTCTGCTTCAGTCATTAGTTCTTCAAATAGTTTTTCAATCTCTTGTTCTCTTCTCCTTCTGGTACCCCTATGATGCAAATGTTACCCTTGATGTTATCCCAGAGACCCCTTTTTAAAAAGAAATTTATTTTTGCTTTTTGCTGTTCTGATTGGGTGTTTTCCACGTTGCTTCCAGATTGCTTATTTGATGCCCTGCTTTATTTAATCTGATGTTGATTCCATCTAGCATATTCTTCATTTCATTTATTCTTCATTTCTTCTTTTTTTTTTATTTTATGGTTTCTCTCTCTTTGTGTAAATTTTCATTGACTTCATTTATTTTTTCCCCCAAGTTCACTGTACTCTATCTGGGATTGCTTGCCTCCATTTTACTTAGGTGTGTGTGTGTGTGTGTTTTTTCTGGAGATTTCTCTTGTTCTTTCATTTGGGACATGTTTCTTTCTCTCCTAATTTTGATTGCCTCCCTTTGTTTCTACATATTAGGTAGCTCTGCTATCTCTCCCAGAGTTGGCTGGGTGGCCTTATGTAGTAGGTGTCAGTGGTGCAGTTTCCCTGGTCACATGAGCTGGGAGCTCCAGGGATGTCCTTTGTGTGGGTTGTGTGTGCCCTCCTGTTATGAGCCTTGATTGCTGTTGGCACATCAGTAGGTGGGATTAACCCTCAGGCTGACTGGCCTTGACGACTGGTCACGATTACAGTGAATGAGCTATTGTGTGAGGGCTGACCCCATGGAGCAAGATTTGATATAGTGGGGCTCTTATACCTGCTGAGTCCACCCTTTGGGAGTGCTGTTTGTGGAGCTAATTGGGTGGTGCTCTGGTGTGGTCAGAAGCCAGCCACTGGGTGTTTTGGTTCTAGGACCTCTTAGGAGGGGCTCTATTGCAGGCCTAGGTCAGCTACTGCCTGTGTGTGCCTGGCTCAGGGCCACCTGGTAGGAGCTACAAAGTGATCTGCAATTGGTAGCTGCCTGTGCTGGTATGGAGGCACCTGGGAAACGATAATGCTGTGGACAGAGGCTGGATGCTCCTTTGGGGTTTGTGGACCTTTCAGAGATTTTAGGGAAGTCCACAGCTCAGGCTAAGGCCAGCCACTTATGAGTAACAGCTATTGAAAAAGGTTCAGGGCTGTGCGCAAGTTGGGTGGGGCA